ATAAAGATTTACAGCCTCGGAAACTCTGTACAGGGTCGCTGTGAGTCAGAACTGACTCCACGGCACATAACCACCACATCAGTTGTGTACCTATTTATAAATATCACCTGTTTAAAAAAAAAAAAATCACCTGTGCCTCTTCTCAGGAGCCCTGGTGGCACTGTGGGTTAGGCATTGGGCTGATAGCCCCAAGGCTGTGGTGGTTCAAACTCATCCATTCTCCTTTAAGGAGAAAGATGAGGCTGTCCCCATAAAGGGATCACAATCATTGTAATGAAACAATATTATTTGTTGAATTTAAAACTGATGATCTGCTCTGTAAATCTTTACTCAACTCACAATAAAAAAAGGAAAAATTTCGTTTCAGAAACCCTAGATAGGGTCACCATGAGTCAGAACTGGCTTGATGGTAATGGGTTTCGTTTGGGGTACCTTTTTAGAACCACTGAATCAGAATCTCCAGGGAAAGATCCTGAATGTAGATCTTAAAAAGCAACCCTCAGGACCACCAAGAGGGAAGAGCATGAATGGAACGTACGATCCTAACCAGAGAAGCAGCAACATCAGAGATGGAGGCAGAGGTGGTGGCATGAAGAGATAAAAGCAGCTGAGGACTCCAGACTCATGGAAAGAAAAAGGCTGTGTGCTGGTGGGCAGGAGGCTGGCTTACAGAATGTGTGTGCCCTTTGGTTGTTTGATGATTATATATTCCTGCGTGTTTTTTGTATACATGAAAAAAAAAGGAGGGAATAGAGGCAAATACTGTTAACTGAGGGGATTGTAATCATTGCAATGAAACAAAATACGATTGGTTAAGTGTAAAACCGGTGTTCTCCCATGTAAATTTATCACTCAAGTCACAATAATAAAAGCTTTGTGAAAAAGCAACTCTGGTATAGTTTCTGGGAGCTGGCAAGTTTGGGAAACATCTAGATCAGGCACAGGGAACATCTGGCCCACAAGGCCATATTGTTGTTAAGTGCCCTTGAGTCGGTTCTGACCTATAGTGACCCTGAACAGGGTTTCCAAGGCAGTAGATCTTTACGGCAACAGAAAGCCTCCTCTTTTCCCCGTGGAACAGCTGGTAGTTTCAAACTGCTGACCTTATGATTCGCAGCCCGATTCATAACCACTAAGCTACCAGAGCTCATTTTAAGGATCGTGAAATCATTTGGTCTTGCCCTACCAATGCAACCACAGTTCCAGCCATCACACTGTTGTTGTTAAGTGTCGTCAAGTCGATTCCGACCCATAGCGACCCATAGGTTTCCGAGGAGCAGCTGGTGAGCTTGAACTGCTGACCTTGCAGTTCAAACGGCTTTGCAATTTGGCACATTAACCCACAGCACCACACCAGGACTCCACACATCACATTGTTGTTGTTATGAAGTGCTGTCAAGTCGGTTCCGACCCATAGCGACCCTGTATTGGGTTTCCTAGGAGCATTGAACTGCAGACCTTGCAGTTCAAACAGCTTTGCAGTCTGGCACATTAACTCACAGCACCACACCAGGACTCCCCAAAACACACTGCATTAGGGGTGACTTAATTAAATGTTTGACCAAATATATTTATCAGGCTAAATTTTTTTTTAAGGCTTTTATTGTGTATTGAGTGAGTGAAGGCTTACAGGGCAGATCCTCATTCAGTTTTACATTCATTAAATCACTGTAATGATTATAATTCCCTCCATGCACCCTTAGCCAACAATATTTACCTCTATTACCTTTTTTTTTCTTAAAATTGATGTACACATTAGCACATTGAAAAACACATATTCATTTAAATGTGCAGAGACCACATTTTGCAAGTCAGCCTCCTGCCTGCAGACACACCGCCTTTCTCAGTTCATGGGCCTATAAGTCCTCTGCTGTTCTATGGCACCGCCTCTGCCACCATCTCTGTTGTCGCTGCTTTTGTGGTTAGGATCCCTTGTTCCTCTCATATTCTTCCCTCTTGATGGTCCTATGGTCCTCTGTTTCTGAAATCAATGATTAATTGCCCCCTACACACACACACTTAGTTGTACCTCTTCTACATTTAGTTGTGACAATCCATTTACAGTTGTGACAATTGCCAAATTACTCGCAATTGAATCAGAAAATCCTATTGCCCTCATCATCAGACCCATCTGGACAGGAGGAAAACGATTCGAGAGTTTCTGTCTTACTTCCCTAGTTCTGACACTAAGCATATTCATGACAACTTATAAACCAGCCATTTCGTGCTTTTACAGCCCCCCAATTTTGATAGCCAAAATCTAAGTTGCCTGTCCCTATCAACCCAGTATATTGAGGAGGCATGCTTGATCCTAGATAAGAAGAATCCTTCCCTATTCAGTTGGAATTTGGGGCAGCTTCGTCCATAAGCAAAGGTCCAGTTTGTCAGGTTGTAGTAATTTACACATGCTCCCTGTATACTGCTTTGTCTTCCTCTGGTCGAATTCTGGTCAGTAAGCCATCCACCCTAGGTTAAATGGCTACTGTCTGCAAGTTTGGGAGTTCTCGCATGCCTTCCCCCTCTTTAGACCAGCTGGCTGCTTCATTCTTACCTCTAGACCTCAGTGGCTAGGTCAGTGTCCTTGGGCTTGGGAGTGCACACATGTCCCTGAACTTCAAACCAAGCAGACTATTTTTTAAGTTGAAAATTTTATTATGGCCCACAAATGATGTTATAAAAATTTTGGCAGAAAATAGGTTCCCCATCCCTGATCTGGAGTCCTGGTGTGCCACTGTGGGATGAAACACTGGATCCCATGGTCAGTTTGAACCAGAAGGTCAGCAGTTCAAACTTACCAGCTGCTTCTTGGAAACCCTATACAGGATCGCTGTGAACCAGAACCGACTCAACGGCACTTTAAACAGCCCCTGATCAACACCCTCTAATGCTGGATCCTGAGTCTCCTCAGAGAAACCCAGCCCTTCAGAGCTCGCTCACCTAGTATTTTCCATCCACTGTTGAAGTGTCTAGGGGCAGGGATGATGGAGTACCATCTGATAGGGGTGTAGTGGACCTAGAGGCTAGGATCACCAGTCAGACAACACAGGGGGCAGGAGTAGCAGGAGGCCCTGGTCCTCTTCAGCCAGCTTCATGCCACACTCAAGTGGGTTTCCCTAAACTGATTAGTTCAACAATATTTGTTAACCTGTTTGAGTGCTGTCAAGGAACCCTGTGGTGCAGTGGGTTAAGTGCTGGGCTGCTAATTAAAAGGTCGGTTTGAAATTACCAGCCTCTCTGAAGAAAACAGAAAAGACAGTCTGTTTCCATTAAGGTTGACAACCTTGGAAATCCTGTGGAGTAGATGTACTCTGACCTGTGGGTCACTATGAGCTGGAATGGACTAAAAGATCATGGTTTGGTTTGGTGCTAGACATAAAGGACAAGAGATGCTTCCAACAAGTTGGTCATCTACTTGCGTGACTCTAAGAGTGGATGCAGAGCACCTGGGAGCTAAATCAAAGGCATAAAGAAATCCACCAGCAGAAGCATGTCCCAGGAGATGGGTGGTGATGAGCTGGGATTCGCAGCCTGAAGTGTTCACCAGGCTTAGGGACACAGCTGCCAGGAGCACTTCTCCCCATTACCAATTCCTAATACTCCCACCTCCACCACTTCAAGGACCACACTTTGCATGGCCCAAGGTCAGGCCTTCCTGCAAAACCCAGTCTTCTCTTCTCAATCTTCCAGTCAAACTGTAGATCCAAAACCCTCCCCACTGGTTAAGAAAATCTTGAACAGACACACCTGGTTACTCATCACACATTTATTGTACATTTTCACAATCTGGATGCGCCACAGAATTGGGGGCACAGGGTGGGGGAAGAGGGGGCAGGGGACACTGGGATAATATGGGGGGTCTAGAACACAGTGCCCCCACCCCCAGCATCTCTCCCTACCCTTTCACACCACAGATTTGATGTCTCTGCTCCCCCTCCACACAGAAAACCTCAGTGTGAGGGGAAGAGTTTGGGGTCCCCTCCAGTGGCAGGTTACGGGTCTGTACCCTCAGACCCCTAAAATTGTGCCATTTAAAAAGACATTTGACTCTTCATCTACCACTTCACCTAAAGAAGAGATGGCTCTCTCTGGGCTCCACCACTAGGAGAGGGCAGAGGATCCCTGTTTTCCAGCAAGTCCCATATACACATTGGCAGTGACTAGTACTCCCACCCTAAATTCAGGGGGGCAGTCAGAGGAGCTGGGCAGTGATGGGGGCAATACCCCCTGGAGGAAAGGTTTTCAGTCCTAGCCCCAGCCAGGGATGGGGCCAGAGATATCAGGCAGAAATTGGGAGGATTCTCTGCCCTGCCCCATGCCTCCCCAAGGCAGTGATAACCCCCCAACACTGGTAGCCACCCCTCCCAAGAGAGACAGGATTGTGGCCAACCCCAACTCTCCTGGTGGGAAGAGGAGGCAAAACAGGCAGATGGGAGGGAGGGAGACCCCATGGGAATGTCAGTTGAGCTCCCCACATGAAAACTGGGGAGCAGGAGCGTGGGGAGAGACCCCAAGTGGCAGAATTATTGGCCCATCATAACACACTGAACTCCAAGACACTTACACACCAGCTGGGGGCAGGGAGAAGAGCGGACAAGAGGTTTGGAAAATGGGGGTAAGGGAAGCAAACTGGACTAGAGAGGCTAGGAGAGGGTCATTCTAGGGACCAGATCAGCTTGGTTCCCCCAAAAGCCCAAACTCCGCACCACCCTGCAGGTAATGTCGTGCAAATGAAAGTGTGATACAAGAACCAATGGGGACTCCTCAGTTAAAAAAAAAAAAAAAGAAACACAAATTGAGAGAGTGAAGAAAAGAGTGATAGAACGAAAAAGAAGAAAACAAAAAAGAGATGTCAGTATGCTAATGATCTGTTAATCAGCATGCTGGAAGCTCCCAGGAGACCCTGGGATTCTTAGGACCAAGTGGAACCAGTCTCAGAGCCTCCCAATGAGTGCAAAGGAGATGCAGCTAGGGAGGTCTGGACAGTTGCTTTTTTGTTTTAAGGAGAGGGATGGGTGGGACAGGGGTGAGAAGAAGGCCAGGGTAGGAGGAAGGATCAGCTAAATCCAAGGAAAGGATGGGAGGGGCTATTGCATAGCAGATGCAAATGAGGGGATTTGGGGCTGGTCAGGAAGAGAGAAAGGTAAGGAGAGAAAGAGAGGAGGTGATGGGAACCTCAGGAAGGAGTGTTAAGGAAAACCGGAAAAAATCTTCTAGTAATAAAACTACAAACAGACCAAATATATATAATATTATATATGTATAAATAACAGCTGGCTATTTACAAGGGACACACACACAGACACACACACACACACACACATGGATCCAGGGGAGGGGGGGCTGGAAGATATGGCTGAGAGGTGGAGGAGTGGCTGGGGTTGGGGGGAAGAGGCCCCTCTCTAGGCAGGGCAGGCTCCTCAGGGGTTTAAGTGCTGAAGTAAACTGTGGAGAGAGGGAAAGAGAAGGAGGAAGGGTGGGGGGGAGAGAAAGAAAGAAAGCAGTGTGTCAGGTCTGGCCCTGCTCCCGTCTTTCCCACTCCCCAGCTGGCTGGTGTCCCTTCCCCTCTTAGGACCTCAGAATCTCCATCTGTAAAAGCAAAGGAGCTGGACAAACAAGTTCTGAGGTCCCTTCAACCCCACAATTTGCCCCTGGGGCTACAGACCCACTAGTCCCTTAGGTTTCTGAGCCCACAAACTCTCAAATGGGGTGGATGGTTTCTAATCTTGATCCCCTGGGCCTTTCCTACTCTCCCACTCCCCAGTTCCAAGGTAGGCAGCCTGGATTTTCAAGCCCAAAGAGTCCAAAGGGAAGCAGTAGGGATCCACCAGCTTTTCTGTTTCCAAAATCTTAACAAACAAAAATTGCCCAGAACCAGGCAAAGTACAGCCACATCAGGTTTGAGGATTTAGATGAATCAGAGAATTGTTACTGGCAGCTATCTATGTTTTTTGCAGAATATTAAAACATGGTTAATGATCTTCATAACCCAGAATCCATAGGGGAAATCTCTCAAGAGAATGGGCCCTGGCCACCCTCTCCCCACTTACCGATAATGATGATGAGGATGATGGCGCAAATCACTCCTAAGATGATCATCATCTGGGAGCAAGAAGGGAGGAGGGTATCAGCAGACAGACCATGATACTCCCATTCACCCACCAGTCCTCCAGGCTGTCCCCACTCTTACCTTGAGGTTTTTCCACCAGTATTTGCGCTTGAGCTTAGCTGCACTTGTTTCAAACTGGGAGGCCCCTGCCTGGAGTGCATCTGCACGGTCATCCAGTTCCGATAGCTTTTGGTCCCGCTCCAAGACTTTGTCCACGTTCACCCTCATGATGTCTACCACCTGAGGGAGGGGCCCAGGAGGCAGGGGGCATGCCAAGGCTGCCTCACTGAGGGCACTCTTTGAACATGCATCCACTGTGCTACATAACGAACATGCACAAGGATGCAGCCAGGCTAACATGCCAAGGACACACACACACAGAGAACATGCCTAGCACACCTGGGGACAGGCTAGGTGTACACACCAGAGGTGTGTTGGTAGTCAGACACTTAGATATCTGAGCAGCACCCTCTATCTATCTATGGAGCTTCAGGTAGCCACTCCATCACCAGACGACACCTGCCCCAGGCTGGCACACCTGCCCCACAATGACAGGTGATCAGCATACAAGTGCCCTGCCAGGTACACACCAGCAAAGATAGGGCATGGTGGTATTATCTATGACTCCAAACACATAGACCTTAACTATTTGTCATCACCCCAAATCTAAGATGGGCCCCCCACACCTATTTGCCAAACCTAGGTTCCTTCCCACTGACTTTGATCTCAAGCCCCCTTCCAATCCACCCTCCTCCCACTCACCTCGTCCACCTGGGCCTGAGTCTGCTGCAGTCTCCTATTACTGGTGAGATTTGGAGGGGGCGCTGGGGGTCCTCCCTCCCCAGCCGGGGCGGCAGGGGGGGCGGTGGCAATGGTAGCAGACCTGAGGGCAGGGACCGATTAAGACTCTGGGCCGGGCCCCAGGCCCCGCAGCCAGGGCTCCGCCCTGCCGCCTGTCCATCCACCCGTTCCTCTCTTCCACCTTCCCGGAGAGGCCACCCGATGGGAGTCCTGGACTCCGTCCGATCCCGCGGCGGAGAAGCTGCGTGACCTTGAGCGAGGCCCCCTCCGCCCTCCTGGCCTCAGTTTCCCCGCCTGCCAAATGAGGGTGACTTTACAGACACGGTCCAGGGTCGACCTGAAATGACTGGCGGCCACGGTGACAGGGCAAGGTGGGGCAGGTGGACACCTCGCTCCGCTCCCTCCCGCGGTCATTGTCCGCTTCGGACAGACCGGGATTCAGGGAGCGCAGTCACGAGCTTCGGGATGCGGGTAGTGCGGGGGGCGCGGGCAAAGCCCCGGGCACTCCCCGATGCCGTTTCCAAGAGCGCCGGGCCGGGCCGGGCTGGGCAAGCCCCACGCGGGCAGCCGACTCACATGGCGGAGGCAGCGGGCGGAGGACTTGGCAGCGGCAGTGATGGCTGCGGCGGCGGCGGCGGCAGCGGCGGCGGCAGCGGCGGCTCGCGCTGGCTCCGACTGGCGCTGGCTGCCGGGGACGGGAAGATGGCGGCCGCACGTCACCCACATCCGGGCACTGCGGGCGGGGGCGGGGCGCGGCAGGCGACACGTCGGAGCTGCTCCGCGGGGGCGGGGCGCGGCGGGGCTGGGGTCGTACCTGCCCGCGTGCCCTTATCCCTTCCATAACCCTGGCAAGCCCCCAGGCCTGACGGCTGCAGCTTGCCCAAACTCTATGTGACCACAACCTACCCAAATCCCTAATCACACCACAGCGGGCTCCCCACACCTCACCCTCAAACCACGTCCCTCTTCATCCGTGAAGCCTACACAGACCTGCGCCCAAATCCCAAATCCTGGCGACTCGCCCTTCTCTCTTTAGCACTAGGAATGGATTGGAGTTGGGGCGCACTAGATGGCAAAGTACAGGTCCCAGAGGCAATTCAAAGAGCCTGGAGTCGGCTTGTTAGATGGGGTATTGTGGGGGAGCCGATCTTCACCCCGTCAACTAGTAGATGGATGCCCCAAGGGAAGTCTGGGTAGGAGGGAGATGAAAAGGAGAGGGTGCAGACTCTTTTTCCTGCTCCAAGCCTGTGACGAGACTGCAGGGGTGAGAGTGCCCATTCTGCACAAGTAGGAATTCAGACCAGGGGTACTTGGTAGATAGAAGAAGCTAGGGTAGGCCCGACTAAGGTAGGGCAGGCTAAGGGTCTCAGGAAGGCGGGAAGGAGGCTGCCCTGCGGTGGTTGCAGGTTGATTTAAGACTAGCTCTGCCCCCAGTTGTGTCAGTTACCCCTGCCAGACTGGAAGAGGGCTCAGCCTTTGACTTCAGATACAGGGCGGGGCCAAAAGGCCGAGTTTTTTGTTTGTTTATTTAAGGGGGGGAAAGGGTAGTGGGCAAGGGGCCAGCCGGAGGGTGACCCTGGAGAATTCTTGGCCTTTCTCTGGAACCAAAATATATTTCATGTGTAGATGCTACATGCATATTTGTTAAATGGCTTGATCTGGATCACATGGTAGGCGGAGACCTAAACTGGCCTGTTAAGTCCTGTAAACAGACATAGCAGCTGCGCACATACTCCCACCCCACCCATCCTCAGCAGGCCTGGCACAGTGAGCATGGCAGGGTCTGGAGGGTGCCCAAGATGGGACTGCCTTACTGTTAGGGGAGGTTAGTGGCCCTGGGTTGGGATTGCACACCAGGGAGAAAAGGGGTCTGGTGTCTTAGTCACTGAGACAAACAGAAGATGGCTCCTTCTCTCCCCAACCCAGGCTTCCCAGGGCCTATGGGTGTGAGAACTGCAGCACCCCCCCTTTCCAGCAGAAGCCTGGGGACCCGCTCTGTCACCAGAGGTGTTGTTTCGCAGCTGTGTGGGGGAGGTGAGTGAGCAAAGAGAGCTTGCAGGGTGTGGGGACTCAGCAAGATCTAAGATAAGATGCTCTGGTTCCCTCCCCCTCAGCAAAGCAGCCACCTCCCTGGCCCTTGTGTACTGACAGAGGATGTCAGGGGTAGCAAAGCCTATGTAGAAAAGAAGAAAAGAGCCATTTCCATGGGGGCCTGAGCTCATTCTGTGGTGTGCTGGCTGCTTGCTATTTTGGCCCCGAAACCATTCCCCTTTCTAGCCAAAGAACAAAGATGCCCCATTCCAGGCTTTTAAGTTCAAAAGGCTCAGTGTGAGCATAGGTTGGAAGGCAGTACAAACCTATCAACCTTCCAAACCTCCTTTACCCCATTCGAAACCCTTGCTCTAGCTGGGTAGACCAAGCTTGCAAGCAAGCAAGACATTAGACACTGGTTTAGGAGTGACTCACATTTTCCAAGACCGAGCCCAGGAGATAGGGAAGGAAAAGAGCCCCAGATAAACTTGAGGAGCCACAGCCATGGGGTGTGGTATAGAAAGCTAGCACCTTGCTGTTGTTCACTCTTCCCCAGGATCCTGTGACAGTAGAAATGAGGCACATATGACCCATGGAGGTGTGGACCCAGAAGGATTGATATCAGAGAAAGGACTTTTCATGAGCAGCCCTTCCCAGTACCAACCCACCTGGCAAACTCCCCAAATTTAGATCAATGGTGGAGGCAGGAGAAGGGTGGGGTAGCTAAGTTTACCAGGTAATAAAGAAGAAATTTTTTCTGCAAGCAGAAAGAACAGAAACCCAAAAGAGAACTAAAAATTAAGTAATCTATTTGCATAACTGAGACCCTGGCTTCCACATTTACCAGTTTTGGTGTTGACCACTGCTGTGGGTTAATGCGCCAAGACTACAAATCTATTTGAACTGCAAGGTCGGCGGTTCAAGCTCACCAGCTGTTTCTCGAAAACCCTATACAGGGTCGCTATGGGTCGGAACCAACTCTACAGCACTTCACAACAACAACAACACCCTACACACATTCAAAGATGTGGGAGGGACCCAAGGTTGCATTTCTAACAAGCATCTCCAGTGATTCTGATGTAGGCCACAGAAGACCAAACGCTAAAGGTTTTCTTTTATTGCTTTTTTTCTCTTCTGGCTTAGGGGTTGGGATGGAAGGTGGCTGGGTCATTCCCACACTGACTCATGAATTTGCCCCATCCACATGAGTCAAGCCTGACTAAACTAGTAATTAATTTGAGGGGCTTCATGTGTCAACCCGCTTGTAAAAAAAAAAAAAAAAGACCTTCTAATTAGGAACAGAATAAGTCCGCCCTTGGGAAAGTTAGCTACACCACCATTACAATCAGCTAATCAAACCCAGAGACCTCTGGCTCAGCCTTCTAGGCCAGAAGGCTCCTGGAGCTGCCTGCCACATACACTTTGGGTTCCTGAAGGTAAAATGAGCTACTCATCGAGGACTTACTGTGTGCCAGACACTTTACATGGATTGCCACATGCATTAAAGTAGTTTTTAATCACAAATGATGTGGCTGCATTCTCTGTGTGAAGTATTAAGAAATTAACATAAAGTTCCCTTGGCCATAATTCAACCCATTTATTCCAATTCACAGTAGAACTGCTCCATAGTGTTTTCTTGGCCCTGGTGTGGCGCTGTAAGATAAACACTGGACTGCTAATCGCACTAACTGCAAGATCAGCTGTTCAAAACCCCCAACTACTCTCGGAAACCGTATCTACAGGGTCCTTATGCGTCGGAACTGACTGGATGGCTCACAACAACAACAAACAATTTTTACAGAAGCAGATTATCAGGGTTTTTCTTCCGTGGGGCAATTGCTTGCACCATTCACCCATCGTATCGCTGTTAAGTCAAGTCAATTCAGGTTCCTTATATTATTACCACATTGTTAGTTACAATTAAGTCAATTCCAATTCATGGCAACTCCATGTGTGCATATAAGGTTCTCAGGGCTTTGACCTTTCAGAAGCAGATCACCAGGCCAGGCATGTCTTCTGAGGCACCTCTGATTTCAAACCATCGAACTTTCAACTTGCAGTCAACTGTTTAACTATTAGTGCCATCCAGAGACCGTACTTGTATGGTGGTGGTGGTGGTTGTGTGCCTTCAAGTTGGTTCTGACTCACAGCCACCCTGTAGAGGTTATCCAAGGCTATAAATATATACAGGAGCAGAAAACCTTGTCTTTTTCCAGGGGAAATAATAATACACAAGTATGAAGGAGCCCTGGTGACATAGTGGGTTACATATTGGACTGCTGTGCCAAGAGTTTGAGTCCACCAGTTGCTCCACGGGATAAAGATAAGAGTTTCTGTTCCCATAAAGATTTATAGCCTTGTGCACTGGACTGCAAGATCTGTTTGAACCTCAAGGTCTATGGTTCAAACTCATCAGCCGCTTCTCAGAAACTCTATACAGGGTCACTTTGAGCCAGAAACGTCTTAATGGCACTTAACACCACACACACCAAACCATACACAGGGTTACTATGAGTCAGAACCAACTTCACAGCACAAAGCAGCATATATATAAATATATGTTTTTAGGTGCTGTCACGTTGTTACCAACTCATAGTGACCTTATGCACAACAGAATGAAACACTGCCCAGTCCTGTGCCAACCTCACAATCGGTGCTATGTTTGAACCCATTGCTGCTGCCACTGTGCCAACACATCTCTTTGAGGTTCTTCCTCTTTCCATTGACCCTCCACTTTACCATGCATGATGTCCTTCTCCAGGGGCTGGTCCCTCTGGATAATATGCTTGAAGTATGAGAGATGAAGTCTGGCTATCCTGGCTTCTAAGGAGCATTCTGGCTGTACTTCTAACAACACAGATTTGTTTGTTCTTTTGGCAGTCCATGGTACTTTTAATATTCTCCTCCAACACCATAACTCAAATGCATCAATTCTTCTATGGTCTTCCTTATTTATTGTCCCTCTTTCACACGCACATGAGGTTATTGAAAATACCATGGCTTGGGTCAGGTGCACCTTAGCCCAAAAACTGACATCTTTGCTCTTCAACATGCATCAGATTTGCCTAGTGCAATACATCGTTTGATTTCTTGACCGCTGCTCCATGAGTGTTGATGGTTGATCCAAGCAAAATGAAGTCTTTGACAACTTCAATCTTTTCAATCTTATATGGATGTTTATTGGTCCATTGGTGAGGATTTTTGCTTTCTTTACATTGGGATGCAATCCATACAGAAGGCTGTAGTCTTTGATCTTCATCAGTAAGTATTTTAAGTCCTCTTCACTTTAAGCAAGCAAAGTTGTATCATATGCATATCGCAGGTTGTTAATGAGTCCTCCTTCAACCCTGATGCCACGTTTTTCTTCATATGATGAACATATATTTGTTGCTGTTGTTGTTAAGTGCCGTGGAGTCATTTCTGACTCATAGTGACCCTGACCCTTTATAACAGGGTTTCCAAGGAGCAGCTGGTGGGTTTGAACTGTTGACTTTATAATTCACAGTCCAGTGCTATCCTACAGCACCACACCAGGAGTATATATATGTTGTTGTTAAGTGTTGTCAAGTAGGTTCTGACTCACACCAACCCTG